ATGGAGGATTGAACTCAGGGGCACTCAACTATTTGAGTTACGTATCCAGCCTTATTTTGTACTTTATTTAGAGACAGGCTGTCACTGAGTTGCTTAGGGTCTCACTTTTGCTGAGGCTGGCTTTGAACTCATGATCCTCCTGCCTCAGCCTCCTGAGCCACTGGGTTTACAGGCGTATGCCACTGCACCTGACCTGTTTCTTTTAAAATGTTAGATCATATTATTTCTGTTGGAAATCTTCAAATGGCTTCTCCTATCACACAAAGTCCTTAAGATGGCCTACAAGGCCACATATAACGTGACCTTCTGCTTACCTAGCTGACTTCCCCCCCCTCCTAATTTCTGCCATAGATAACTCTACTGTTCTTTGTACACTGATTCCCTAAAGATCTTTGGAGTTTTCTCTTCTAGGAACTGTTAACTTCCCTTATGCCTATCCTTAATTTGTCACCTTCTTAGTAGTCATTCTTTACTAATCATCTTATACCATGTCCCTCTTTTTCCCTCTAATTACTTTTATTTTCATTCCCCTTAAGTGTTTCTCTGTAACACTTACCGACATACTATATATTATTGTCTCTTTCCCCATGAGGATAAGGACTTGGTTTGCACATAGTAGAAAACTAGAATGATACGGCACACAGTAGCTACCCAGTGGTTGGTTGGTTTAGATTTTTTTGTCTGTGATAGGAATTGAATCAAGAGGTACTCAGCCACTGAGCTACGTATCCTTAGTTCTTATTTATTTTGAGACAGAGTCCCACTAAGTTTCCAAGGTTGGCCTCAAACTTGGGTTCTTCCTGCCTCCTGAATAACTGGGACTATGGAGGTACACAGTATACCCAGCATCCAGTGGTTTTTGACTAGATGAATTATTTATTTAAATTTGGCTATGTGACAAAATATTTTAAATTTAATGCTTTATATTATAACTTGACTGCTGAATCAGTATCGCCACAGATAATTTTCTTTGCTCTGACGCATATTAATAAAACTAACTATGCTATTAGTGTCTTTTAAAGCTTTGTACTTGGACAAATTGTATACCTTTTATTTAGCAGAAATAAACTGATAATAGCATTAAAAATGCCCCCTTGTTTGGGGGCCACTCGTGCTGCCATTTCCGGTTTACCTGGGGCTAGAAGGCAATATTGAAATGTCCTTAGCTCTCCCTTATTTCCAAGCCATTTCTACTTTTTTTATGTACTGATGATTGAACCCAGCAGTGCTTTACCACTGAGCTACAGCCCCAGTCCTTTTAACTCTCCCTAGGTTTACAGGTTTTTGCCAGCCTCAGTTATATTTATTATCACCTTAACTGTTTGCCAGCCACTCACACCCATAGCTTGTCTTACTGTTAGCCACAGTTATTGTATGTGAGGTTTTATACTGAAATCCACTCTGCCTTTATGTCTCTTTTGCTCCTTCCTGAACATCATTGAGACGTTCAGGTGTGTGACTAGTTTTTCCTCCATTTTGTTAGCTCTTTGTCTTACCTTCCTTCCCTACTTATCCTCAATACAGCAAATACCAGTCAGTGTTCTCTCAGAGATCCTGATGCAGGCAGTTTGAGGTGGGGCTCGGGAATATAATTTTAAGTTTCCAGGTAATCTGATGATAAACCAGGTTTGGGAACCCAGCTAACCATTATTGATAGTCAGAACTATTCTTTGATCATTTTTTTTTTTTAAACCAGAGATTGAACTTGGGGGAACTCAACCACTGAACCACATTCCCCACCGCTATTTTGTATCTTATTTAGAGACAGGGTCTCACTAAGTTGCTAAGCACCTCGCCATTGCTGAGGCTGGCTTTGAACTCACTATCCTCCAACTTAGCCTCCCAAGCCGCTGGGATTACAGGCATGCAACCTACACCCAGTTGATCATGGTTTTCAGTAGCTTTAGTACCTCTTTTGGAGAAGTCCTGATCTGAATCTTGGTGGAAGTTTGAGTCCTACAACCATGCCACTACCAAACCATAGTCTCTAGCACGGTCTCCTTAGCTCTTTAAAGTAGTTTACATTCTTTTCAGGAACTGTTTTAGACTTTTCCCATTAAGCCCCTATCCTCTCTACATTTCCATGCTCAGTAATTTCCTTGACTCTTATTTGCTTGGGAATAGGCTGGAAAAAAGACCAACTAGACTTCTTCTCATGGAGGTTATAGTTTCTTCACCTTTAAAGTAATCTACAACTACACTCTACACTCATCTTTAAGTCCACTCTTCAGTTAGCAGGAGGCCATATTATTCTTTGTTGAAGGCAGATACTTATGCTTTTGATTCTGTCCCCTTTTAATCATCTTTTTTTCCTGGATTGTTAACCTTTTCCATGGTCTATAAACTAGTTCATCCTTAATAAAAACCTTTCTTGACCCTGCCTCTACCTGGAGCCACTTCTCATCCTTCTCTAGTTTTTTGATGCTCTTTAGCTCAGTACAATTTGACTTTTGCCATCATCACAACTCTTAAAAGTGTTCTTAAGGGTTACCAAATGCAAATGCCAGTCTATACTTTCCAATCCCTTTCCTACTGTTTGTTTTCTTCCTTATTGAAATTCTTTATTCCTTTGGCATCTCTGACAACATTTTTATTCAGTTCTTTTTCCTCTTCTTTCTTGTGGACATCTCCTCTCCACTTGTAAATCTTAGTTTTCCCAAGATGTTAGTCTTTGGGTTATTTTCTAATCATCCTTTGTTCTTCCTAGTTAACCCTATCCACTCATGGTATGACTACCACTCCCATGAATTGTATTATTTCTCTCAGATATCAGACTTCTATTTCAGCTTCTTATACTTTGGACTTCATAACCAATTATCTTTTGGATATCTTGTTTATTTGAAATAACTTTTTAGTTTTATCCCACTACAGTGCCTTTTTTTTTTTTTTTTTTTTTTTGGATACCAGGGATTGAACCCATTGGGGGCTTAACCATGTCCCCAGCCTTTTTAAATTTTCAGACAGGGTCTTGCTAAGTTGCTGAGACTGGCTTTGAACTTGTGATCCTTCTGCCTCAGTCTTCTGAGTTACTGGGATTACCAGCAATCATCACTTTCCCCAGTCCACTAGCAGCTTTTGCAGCACATCTTCTTTCATATTGAAGTGACATTATCCAGCAATTTCTTTCTTCTTTTTTTCTTGCTACTGGGAATTGAACACAAGGGCACTCAACCACCGAGCCATATCCCCAGCCTTATTTTGTATCTTATTTAGAGACAGGGTCTGAGTTGCTTAGTGCCTCACCATTGCTGAGGCTGGCTTTGAACTCAGGATCCTCGAGTCTCAGCCTCCTGGACTGTTGGAATTACAGGCGTGTGCCACTGCACCCAGCTTTATCCAGCAATTTCTATTCCCTAACCTCTCTTACCTACCTGATGATCATTTCTAAGTATTTATAGCTCCTTTCAAGCCACCTATGAGAATTATTATTATTAGTTTTTGTTTTGTTATTTTAAAATCCAAAAGGTAGGCTTTAAGGTCCAAAAATGTTCTCACTAAATACTCCATAGCAGTAGCATAGCACTCTATGGATATTTAATAGGTTGAAATAGTTCTTTTTAACAGGAAAGTTAAGTCACAGTAGACTTTTATAGTGCTAAGTAACTTCCTATTTTTGTATATTAAAAATGTAAAGCCCTAAAACATGACTTGTGATTTTCCCAACTATTTTTAGCCCTTTTTTCTGAGGTATTTATTTTTATTAGAGCTTTATAATTATACACAATAGTTGGATTCATCCCGACAAACTCATACATGCATGGAAATGGATTTCAGTTCCATGATCCTCCGCTTTTCTGTCTTCCATCCCCTCTCCCATTCTCCTGTTAGACTTCCTTATGTTTGTCTACTAGTTTGTATTTGGTTCTTTATGTGATTTTATTCTTCCTTCCCCCTTTCCTTTATTTTACTCTAGCTTCCGTATGAGAGGAAAGCATTCTACCTTTGAGTTTTGCTTATTTCATTTAGCATGATAGTCCTCATTTCCATCCATTTTCCAGAAAATGCCACGATTTCATTCTTTATGTATGAGTAGAACTCCACTGTCTATATACACACCACAATGTCTTAATCCATTCATCTATTGACCAGCATCTAGGTTGATTCCATAGTTTAGCTGTTGTGCTAATAACATTGATGTGGTTGTGTTACTGTAGAATGCCGATTTTAGATCTTTTGGGAAAATACCAAGGAGTGCGATAGCTGGGTCATATGGTAGTTCCTTCTCTAGGTTTTTGAGGAATCTCCATATTGCTTTCCAGAGTAGTTGTATTAGTCTGCAGTCCCACCAACAATGGGACAAGTGTACCTTTTTTAGGAGTCTTAACTATAAATTAAGGTAATCTGATATCAAAATATTGAAGAGAGTTTACATAACCAAACCTGGATTTACTTAATGTAATAAAATGCAACTCAAGATAATTCTATAAACTATGGTGCAACAAAATTTTTCTTTTTGGTACCAGGGATTGAACTCAGGGGCATTCAACCACTGAGTCACATCCCCAACCCTTTTTTGTATTTTATTTAGAGACAGGATCTCACTGAGTTGAGTTGCTCAGTGTCTTGCAGTTGCTGAGGCTGGCTTTGAACTCAGAATCCTCCTGCCTCAGCCTCCTGAGCTGCTGGGATTGCAGGCATCACCACTGGACCTGGCAATCTTTTTCTTAAAGAGTGGCTCAAAACAATCATGTTAACTTTTCCCCACAGCTCCTGAGTTTTACAATTAGATTCATTTAGAGATTCAATTAATCATTAAGCTAATTTCATTATTGTTTATATCTAAGTAATTATATATATATATATATATATATATATATATAAGCTAATATGTAAATATTAGCAAGACTTAATATTGACCAGACCTTTAATAATACCATTTTTCTGTTTTGAGAAGATCAAAGCTATTGGCCAAACAGAATTGAATGCAAGCAACCCAGAAGAAGTGTTACAGCTGGCAGCACAGAGAAGGAAGAAAAAGTTTCTCCAAGCAATGGCAAAACTTTACTTTTAAGCAGTCAAAGCTTTTTAAACTTTTATTTTTTAAACAATGGGCTTAAAATAAACAGTATTAAAAGATTAAGTTTATATAATACATATGTACACATTTAGTGGTGTTTTCTTTTCAGACAATACAGAAACAAATAGTTTAAAACTATACAAAAGACTTCATACTATAATAGTAACTTTAATTTACAGTTTCTTCAAAGGGAGAAGAGATTCACATTAGGATAATGCTTTAGTAATTAAATCCACTTTTTGAGGCAAAAGCTAATTTAAGGTAAGTAGTAGCTAGTCTATATACAGCAAGTTCTTATGTCTTTTTAATAAATAGACTTGTGGTATACATTTAATATTTTTCTGCCTTAATAAAATAAGTGTTAATCTTTATCATTTTGACGCTGTCCTTATCTCATAATGTAGGAATTTAAATTGGACCTTAACAGTTTTATAAACATAAATAAAGCCTTAGTCACACTAAATTAAAAAAAAAAAAAAAGCCTTAGGGATATCTTAGAGTAATAAAGTGACTTTCTCATATAAATAGTTTAAAAAGGTACTTAAGACTTCACCCAAATTGTGATATACAGAAAGGTCATTATAAAGCAACCTATATATCAAAGCTCCAAGTAGGAGCCACAGCATTTATCTTTATTTTTAATTTCTTTGGTACTCCCACTGTTTAGAGCAGTTTAAAACATCCTGTTCATTGAAGCCTTATTGGTTAAAGAATATGATGGCAAGGCAAATAAGAAAGTTAAAAAAATACATTAAATCTTACCATTTGTAAAAATTCAAGTTTTATAATAGTTTGCTACTACAGGTTTAGATAAATTAGTCACCTTATTACAAAACTAAGTCTTGGTAAACAAGTTTAAATTTTATTTTCAAGAACCAAATTGCACTAGTTAAGAGTATAGGAATTTGAGAATCTAAAGCTAGATTCAGAATATTATATCAATGTACCCTTTAAGGTAGCACTTATCTAGTCCAAAACTGCAATGATAAAATTCCTTGTTTATCAAAATAAACATAGTAACACTGGATCCAAAAATAATTGTGGCTGGCTTCTCTCCAGTAGACTTGTGAATGAAGTCATCTTTGTAAACATGTTCAGCCTTCTTTAATGGCTAATATAGGAAGTGAATATCTTCTTTAGTGCCAATTTCAAGTGGTTTTTCAAAGAATGGCAGTGTCACTTCTGAATTGCCAAGGATAATCAGAGCACTATTTTCCTGTAAAAACTTTAGTTCAGTTGTATGAAATTCTAGCAATACTTGCTCAGTTTCAATTTGCTTGTCAAGTAACTCCTTTAGTGTTTTCCTGGTGGTTTTTCAGTGCTCTTCGGTGGTGTCATAATGCCCCCATTGCACACTGGTGACAGCTGTCCCCCTTTTCTAAAGGTGTTTACATAATTTACTTCATCCTATACATGTGAAGAAATTATATAGTGATTAACAGCTAAGATAAAGCACTGATATAGTAAAACAGTCAAACCAGATTTCTAGTATCTTTTTGAGATTATTCTGACCAAATGCAGTGGTCCTTTTATGTCTTTGCAACTGTGAATTCATTCTGAAGGTTCAATAGTTTGAACTGTACTATGTGTATATGTGAATCTTAAACTCTTTTGATTAAAAAAAAATGTTCTTGGGTACTAGGGATTTAACTTAGGGGCAGTTTATCATTGAGGTATATCCCAAGCCCTTTTTCATTTTTTATTTTGAGATAGGGTATGCTAAGTTGCTAAGGCTGGCCTTGAATTTCTGCTGCTGCTTCCGAGCTGCTGGGATTGCAGGCATGCACCACTGTGCCTGGCTAAAATAATTTTATTAACTTCTCTACACTCTGAAAACATGGGGCCCATTACTTTCTCTTTATAACCGCTGAAGTTGCATTCCATAGTATGCTGTCAGTTTCAAGGCTTACTAGATAGCAAAATCAAAACAAAAAACCCACAAGACATACCAGCATAGCCAAATAATTTGTATGTGTCTGGATATTATGTCTGTCTTCCATAGGTATCTTCTTAAAAGTCTTTAGCTTCACTGGACTAGTACTTTTTACTACACTGACAAAAGGTACCATCCAGTCTACACATTCTGAGATGATGTCCCATTCCAAACCTAGATTGAAAAAGTTGGAAAATTCAAGGCTGTACATCACAAAATTTCTTACATATACCTAAAGTAGTTATTTAAAAAGTCATTTTAAAACAAAATCAGTAGGTCAAAACAGATTATCATGCTCAGACTATTTTTTTTAATAATATAACTAATCTTAAAGGGACTTTAGATCAATTTTAATCAGTGTCTTCTACATATGAATTTGTAAATTTTTAAAAAATATTTTTTAATGTGGTGCTAAGGATTGAACCCAGTGCCTCACATATGAGAGGCAAGTACTCTGCCACTGAGCCACAACCCCAGTCCTGAATCTGAAACTCTTAAATTCCAAAGAACAGCCAAACTATAATTGTGTAGATTCATTTCAAATGGACTTAAATTTTATTTGGCCTTTGTGAGTTGTGAAGACTCAGTATTATAAAGTATTTCTAAGAGAGAAAGAAAGATAATCACTAAACTGCTAACTTTGGCAGAAGTTGTGAACAGGTAAGAAGAAAAAATTGTGTCTTACCTGAGGCTTTCTTAACCACTTCAATGGAGGTAAAATGGCACAAGGCAGCAGCTGCCAGTATTCTGTACTGGAACTCTAAGGAGTCAATGGCTAAAATACACAGATCTAAAAGCTAACAAATGAAAAAAGTATAAGTAATTTAGGATAAGGATGAGTACTACATGTTACTACTAAAATCGGCTAACATTTTTTAGGGTATATTGGACCCTATGCCAAGAATTGTTAAATTGCTTAAGGATTAAAAAATAATAAGTTACCATCCTGAAGGAAGTCAGGTTTTGGGGTAGTAGGTCAGGGAGTAACTACTAGAGTAGGAAAGGACTGTTGTGCTGCAGTATGATGGGAGAAAGGGCATTTAATCCAGATTGGAAAAAGTAGTAAAGACTTCTGATGCCTTACATGACTGTCTTAAAGAGGATAGCTGGGAAGATTTGAGGTAGAACAATGTGACTTGGAACTGAAGTAGTTTGGAAAACCAAAGGTGGAAAGAAATAGGAAGTACTTTTCCTTTATTTCTTATCCAAAAAAGGGGGGAGCTAGAGGTCCAAAGGTGGATAATTAAATCTACTCCTCCTCTAGTACCTTTGTTAGACTATTTGTTATATGCTGACCTAGGAAAATTTAGTTTGAATGCAAGTTTTAGATCCTATGAATAAGTCTGATGAAATGTAACTTAAATAGATAACATGTGCATTCAAGTATACAGCAAACAAGAGAATCATACAGAATAAATCCAAAATATTATAAAGTTAATGACAACTAGCTGAAAAGTGCTTTTCATCATTTGATATCAAAAAGAAATATTTAACTCTATTTTGGACTCCTAAAGAATGAAAGTACTTGTGAAAGTTTAAGAACTTTGTTGTCCAGAATTATTAAACAACAAATATTGGGACATAATTTTACATGTCCAAAATTTTGTTGTAGTCAAGAGTATTTCAATATGCCAGTATTTTGTTGTGTAGTCTATTTAAGACTATATATATTTTAAACCTGTAATAAAAGTAACATTAAATATATTCAATAACAGTGTAAATACCTGAGCTATTTGAATGAATGTTTCCTGAGAATACTGAGGTAGAAGTACTTTAGGAGCATCCTTAAGAGCATCAACTTGGAGAAAGAGATTTAACCAGGAGATGACTGTTACAGGACAAAGTTCCCATTTTAAAGCCTGTTAATGAAATTTTAAAATGCCCATTAATGAATGTACATATACCTATGCCACATTACATAGAATGCAGAGGTTAAATAAATTTCCCTCCCAGCCACAACTGTTTTGTTTTGATGTATTAGAACAAGATGCCTTGTTCTAATCTAATAATACATCTAAAACCTTAGTTTTGACTACTTATAGTATTCTGAAATAGTTACAAAGTCACACCTAGAAATAAGGACATAATTATTATTACCTTTAATATAACGAGTTCCATCCTTAAGATATCCTCTTCACTGCAAGCACCATCAGTGACATAAGCAAACTCTTGGAGTTTTGGAGCATAGATTTCCTTTAAATTAGAATTTTTTATTAGGCCCAATTGAGATTGACATTAAAAGAATTCTATACAAACCACATACAGGCTTCAGTTTTAAGAAATTCACAAAGTGATTATAAATCTTAGTAAAATTATTCTATAACTCAACCTACCTTAGTTATTTTTCATATCTAGATATCTAAATTGGTAACTGTTATCAAGATTTATTTTCTTAGAATTGACTTTGAATTTTAGTTGATAAACAACTAGAGTATCTTAACCAGTTGTTTCAGTTAAAAAATAAAATCTTGCCGCACACAATGGTGTATGCCTGTAATCTGAGCTACTTGGGAGGCTGAGGCAGGATGATGACAAGTTAGAGGCCAGCCTCAGCAACTTAAGTAAGTAAGATCCTGTTTTAAAACAAAAAGACCTGGGATGTAGCTCAGTGGTGGAGTACCCCTGGGTTAAATCACCAGTACCACACATACACAAAGCTAAACTTGTTTTAAGATTGCCTAGTATGTTGGTCTTGTCACACACTTGTGACTTTGTTAGAGCATGCCCAAGCCCTGGGTTAAATCCCTAGCACCACAAAAAAAAAAAAAAAAAAAAAAAAATTGAAGTTTGGCTGACAGGTCTTAGCTCAGAGAAGATCTAGAATGATCAAAGGATTAGAAGAGATATCTATTGAGACTTGCAGGTTTGAAGCCAGTCTTGGCAATTTAGTGAAACCATGTCTCAAAAATAAAAAATGAAAATGGGCTGGAGATGTAATTCGGTGGGAGAGCACTCCTTAGGTTCGGTCAATAGTATTGAAAAAAAGTTGAGGTCTGCCATATAGGACAGGTTAAATATCGGGTTTCAGTCTAGAAAGACACCTCAAATAGTGTGATTTCACATAAGTTGAGTGATGAGTTGACTACAAACCGATGTGCCAAATTTGGCAGAACTTTGGAATAGCCCTTATGCTCAAAAGACACAGAAGGAAAATATAGTTCAGGAAATTATATGATCATTTCTTTCATTTGATTGGCTCTTTAGTTTTCAAAGACCATTCTATTCCAACCAAATGCCATAATTATGTGTATAAAGACAGTATTGATATCTCATTTGGCAGAATAAACCACAGAACATTTCACCTAGATACTAATCTCAAAGAGTCTAAATGAGAGACTTATATAGGCTCAGACACCACAGAAGAACTATGATATATTTTTTTTCCAATTCTATCATAATGTTCAGAAAATGTATTAAAGAACAAAATCATTCACTCTAAAGAGTAAATATAAAAAATTATGTATTCTCTGGGATTCATGTGTTAACTGGAAAACAAGTTTGGGATCAATATATTGTGGATGAACTTTGAGAACTCACCTCAAGTTTGGAAGCAATGAATAATGAGGTAATTCCAATAAGTTGAAGCATATTTTTGTTTATATCCTTTTGTGTCAACATAAATCTATCAAAAAAATCTTGTGCAAGATAAAATGTTTCCCTATGAAGTGTGTATACTTCACATACCTAGAGAAAGAAAGAGTCCAAACATTTCACAGTTACTCTCATATTTTCTCCAATTTAGAAAGTCATCTCAGCATACTAGACTAGAATGTTTTTAAGCCACACTTTGCTTTTTAGTACCAAAGATAAGATAGGAGAGAAAAAAATTTAACATGTACTAATAGGATAAAAAAGCCTACTATGGTTCTTGTTTACTCTTCAGTACTTTTATAGTTTTTTATTTTTATTTTTTAGTACCATAGATTGAACCCAGGGGTCCTTCACCACTGAGCCACATCCTCAACCCTTTTTTATTTTTCTAACTTTTGAGACAGAGTCTTGCTAAGTTGCTGAAGCTGTCTTTGAACTTGGGATCCTCCTGCCTCAGCTTCCTGAACTGCTGGGATTGCAAGCATGTGCCACCATACCCAGCTTTTTTTTTTCCTTCACATTTTTACTTCAGTTATTTTTCATATTTTACTGCACTGGCTAATGGCTAAGAGTCTAGAACACTGAGTAACACTGGTGCTAAGCAAAAATCTTTTGTTGCTGACTTCAATGGAAATTGCCAAATGTTTCACTGTTGTTATTACTAATAACAACTAGAAACATTGCCATACTTAAAGGGAAATAACTCCATAAAGTAGGTGTTGTGATCTCCATTTTAGAGATGAGAAAATGAACAGAAATATGAATTCCTAATAAACAATGACTATTAAGGAAATCTCTTATTCTTAGCTCACTTCATCCCCCCTGCCCCTTCTGGGGAATGAGCCTAGGGGTGCTCTATCCTGGGCACCTTTTATTTTCAAGACAGGTTTTCACTAAATTGCCCAGATAGCCTCTCCTTTCTCATCCTCCAGTTGCTAGGATTAAAGGCATACACCACTGCACCCCTTGCTCACTACCTATTTTAAAGTCGGGAATGGATGTTGAATTTTGAAAAAAATTTCTTGCATCTGAGATCTTAGGCTTTTTCTTACTTATACTATTAAGGTAACAAATTAATAGATTTTTTTTTTTCAAATGTTAATCATCTTTACATTCCTAGAATGAAAGAATGTTATTAAGACAGATTTTTAAACATTGTTGGATTTGGTTTTATGTTTGTAGGGTTTTGTATATATGTAATTGTATTTAAGGAAAAATAGGAAACACTGGATAGAACAGTCCACCACTGATAAAAATTAGTATAAGGTAAAAAGTAAAAACATTAACTAGATGCTCAAAAAAAGCCAAACCCTGGCTGGGAGTGTAGCTCAGGTAGAGCATATGCTCCAAGTGTTCATTGTCTAGCACCAAAAATGAAAAAAAATTAAACCCCAACAACCTAACTACCTTGCTAGGCATGATGGTGCAAACCTATAATCTCAGCAACTCAGGAGGCTGAGGCAGGAGAATGGCAAGTTGGAGGCTAGCCTCAGCAGCAACATAGTGAGACCCTGTCTCAAAAATAAAAAGGGCCGGGCACAGTGGCATAGGCCTGTAATCCCAGTGGCTTGGGAGACTCAGGAGGATTGTGAGTTTAAAGCCAGCTTCAGCAATTTAGTGAGGCCCTAAGCAACTCAGTGAGACCCTGTCTCTAAATAAAATACAAAAGGCTGGAGATGTGGCTCAGTGATTAAGGGCCCCTAGGTTCAATCCCTGGTTACTCCCCCGCTCCCCCAAAAAGGTCTGGGATATAGCTCAGTGGTACAGCACACTGTGTTCAATCCTTAGTTTTCAAAAACAAAACACCAAACTACCTTATATATATTCACACTATTAAAATACAATCTCTCCTTGAGTCAGAATAAGGAAGATAACCTGACGTAAAAGAACATTTTGTAGTTCGAAAACTTTGCTGATAGCTTCTCTAATCTACTTTGCCTTGTGCTACTCCAAACATCCTAGTCTCTCTCCTTTAGATGCATCATTTCTAAGATTACATGGCAAATATCTAAGGATTGGAGGAAATCAGTGTCACGAACACAAGTACTCATTTATAATAAGTTTAGATTACCCAGAGAAAGGGAATGGGCCTAAACAAGAGAGAAAATGTTGTCACAGATTTATAGGGATTTCAGGATTACTATATTCCTTTAGATTGATGGTACACACTGGGTGTGGTGCTAGAATCCTAGTTACTCAGGAAACTTGAGGAACACAAGTTTGAGGTCAGCCTAGGCAACTTGGAGCCTGTCTCAAAAAAAAAAAAAACGGTCTGGGGATGTAGCTCAGTGGTAGAGTGTCACTGGGTTCAATCCCCAGTATTGCCAAAGGAAAAAAAATTGCTCATACAATGTATCTCTGGAAGGAATACAAACGCATTATAAAAGGGAGCTACACAAAACCAGAGTGCGTAGGCTTCAGGGTATCCAAAGCCTCATTATGGTTTAGGGCATAGAAGTCAATATTCCTAATCATAATTTGCTTTTGGTAATGCAGAAAAGGACTTCTCGGGGCCATGAAGCCTAGTCTTGGTTCATTGCTTAGCAGTATCCAAAACCTAGTCATCTATGCATTCCATTCATCTTGAAAATAAAAGCCCTGAGCACCTAGAACAGTGCCCAATACACAACAATATACACCCAAACCAGGAATTCTGAATTGGGTTTGGGTTGTATGTAGTGGCTGTGTCCTTCCAACTTTATCCTTTGTTTTGGTGCTGAGGACTGAACCCAGGGCCTTGAGCCTGCTAAGTACATATTCTACCATGAAGCTACACCCCCCATTCCCTGAATTTACTGATAGGAAGTAGTTTTATTTCACTTTGGTTACTATCAACTGTAGGAAGTACCCCCCAAAAGATGGCTTACTGGCAATGGATAATATATCCTGAGGGCACATTTACCTTTAAACATTTTTCCACTATACAGAGATAAAAGCAATTTATTTTGCTGGAACATACCTCTAAAAGCCAGTCTAGAAGTATTGACCTCATCTGTGGTTCCAAGTCAGAATGTAGAACTTCAAAATGCTTGTCATGAACATATCTGCTCTCTTTTTTTAGCATGTTTAGCCAGACCTCCTTTGAACATCCCCAGCTATGGGAAGGGGGAAAACAGAATTTAAATTATGTGATCTAAGCAATATACAAACTCTGATTACATAGCATAAATCTAACTTTCAGTTAGAATCTGAAAGAAGCTCTTAAATTAGAAAAAGATTTCTACCTGAATTTTTAGAAACTATTTCTTTTGAATGAGAAATAAAAGCCTAAAATAATCAGGAACTTAGATTATGATCATGTAAGTTGATAATTTTCAAAGAATGCTTCTTCATTCCACTTATAAAAGGGTACTGTTTCAGATAACCATGTTCTCTGAAGAGCAATTCTAAAAAGCTAAATATTGAAAGCATATGAACACAGTGAAGGCAAGTCTTAATAGCTGCAAACAGATCATCAACAGTAGAGTCACCTACAGTTGGGGAAAGGTAGGACAGAGTTTAGGGGAGGAGGATTGATGTGTTTAAATATCTGATTTCATGAATTTACTTATCAAAGTCAAACACAAGTTACTACTCTATATGTCTTATGTAGGCTGTACCTCTTAGTCATACTCATGGACTAGAAAAAAGAATTAAGTATAGGCCTTACTAAGCTTGGTAAGCATACATCAATTGAAAATGCTGTCCATGTTAAAATACTTTCATCTTAATTTAGATAAATTCCATTAAAATTCAGTTCTGCCAAGTCTGATAGTATTTAGGAAGCAAATGAAAACAGTTTTATAGAATGAGTGTTTTAAATACCCATGTCATTTGCAAATAGCAGTACTCGGATTAAAATATGTGAATTATTAATCAAGAAAGCAGTTTTTGAACAAGTTTGTTTTATAATAAAGACAAAAGATAATATATGACACTATTCTGTACAGTTTAATCTTTGCTATAAATTTTCTTACCTTAAATCTGGCAAAGGTGAAGGATTAATAAAAAGATTTTTAAATCTGTAATTTGTAAATCTGGAAAAGTCACTTGTTTCTATTTCTTTGTGGGGTGTTTCAATGATAATGCAAGGACTGATTCCCCCGGATAATACAGGTGGCCAACAATTCTGTCATTAAAAGAAAAAAAAGATCTATTTGTGTAACAGGAAACCTTAGCTTTTGTCCTGGATCTTTCATAAATGAAAGTTAATATTTCTAAACCATCTGTAGTTTCAGCTGACATAGCTGACAGTTAGCTAATCTGACATTCATATTTTATAAAAAGCTATAAAACTCATTTTGATATTCATAACATAACAAAGTTTTAGATAAAATATAGTTCTGGTAATACAAGACGTAAGGTATTGAAAGAGTAATAACAAAATGCTTCTGTAATATAAGACACCAGTCACTTTGAAGGTAAGAAGCAAGAATACCTTTTTAAATTAAAACAACAAAACAGCTCTTTTGAAGTTAAGCCTTTCCCATAATTTAGAATACTTAAAGGCAGAAACCTTAAAAATGGAACCGAGTGAAATGGATCACTTAGGGGACCCTTTCTTCAATAATGCTGGTTTCAAAGGGAATCACTGTCTCTAAGGCTGTCCATATAACACATAGGAAGAAGAGGTAGCAAAGGGCTGGGTGCCAGGCTGTCAGTGATCTAACATTCTATTTATGCCAAAGCAGCAGCTATTAGGACCCTTTGCTACAGTATGAGAGGGAACAAAGAACAGTATATCAGGCAGATTAGGCGGGCCCTGGTGCACCAGTCAGCTCCAAGAGGAGGGATTTACAAAAAGAAACCAGCTGCTTTAAGGCAAATTTACTGTGCAGCTGTGGTTGAATTCGGGAACATATAAATGTCCTTCCTTGCTGGCCTCCGGGGGCATTAAAGGTAAAAATATTAGAGGAGTCTTTCTATTGCAAAGCAATAATACCATTCTACTCATTTGTCCTCTCCTGCATTTGTTTCTCCCAAACCCACCCAGTCCAGTTCTGCATTACCCTAATCTCATATTGATGTTTCTTGGTGACCTCCTCTCTTCTTTTTTTTACATCCTGAAAAATAGAAAAGACCATTGATTGGTAAGCAAAGGTCATAGCAAGGAATTTCCTCCCTCCCTCTTTCTTTCCTCTTAACTCACCTGTGCTGTTTTTCTCTTCTTGGCCTGGATTATCTGGATTTCTTGGGGAGAGTCTGGCTGGCTGGGCTGAGCATGCTGCTTAGCTTGTAAACGGCTACTGTAGTGAATTTTTAAAAAGGAAGTTTAATTAGTAAGTCATGTGTTTCAAAAGTAGCAGCTAATTTTGAAGCATGTCTCTAATACAAATATTACCTGCGTCTTGACATTCTTTTTCAGGTATATGAAACCTCCTGAAGGAGTGGGGGTAGAAAAACCAGAGTTAAGTACACAGTCACCCATATTTTCCAAGTGCCCATTAGAACTGATGCAGAGGTTAAAGTTAAGTCCTTCAGAAGGCAGCCTGGGTCATTTTACCATGCTGTCTTCTGCACTATATTAGTTATCTCATAGTAATTAATTTTGCACACATTTCCTGAACTGAATGTACAGCCAGAACGCGAACGTCTTCAAAAAAATTTACAAAGCACCTCCAGCACCCTAAAAGCACAGGGTGGCAGATCTCCCCCAAACGAGTTTTTCTGGGTCCTCCACCCTCTCTCCATATATCCAGAGTGGAACTGGGGCAGCGCTCCCACATCCCCCTCCCGTCCTGGACGGACTGCGCCGAGAGGGGGTTGTGGAGGCGAAACGCAGTGGAGAAGCCGGTTCCGCGCCAATTTGGAGAGCGGCAGTGGCGGGGAAGCAGGGGGCGGAGGGAACTGAGACTGGTGTCACGTCCTCCAGTCTCCTTTCCCTCCTTCCCAAACCCATCAGGCTCTGCCCGCCACTTGGAGGGGCACCAAGATTTTAGCTCTAGCTGGTGGATGGAGGGAAGGAAAAGGAGTTTAAAGAAAGCGGGAAATGGGGCAGGTCAGTAACTTTCTCCCCGTGAAGGGAACCCAGATCCCCATCCTCTCTCCCACGAAGAGCTCCCCAAATGGGGGTTGGATAGAGGAACCCGTGGAATGAGGGGTTTTGCTGTGGCCTCTGTTAGGGGCTGCCCTCCACTCCACCACCGTTTCCCCATCCCCTGCCAAGGGTCCTGCCAAGATCGGAACTCGGGGGCCCATTCTCCCCATTCACCTCGTTTTCTGCCTTCCCACCTCCCTTTCCTCAAGGCTCCCGCCCCTAGGGTGTCCCAGGCTTTCTTTCCTCCAGCATCCCCCCTAAACCCGGCAACTCCTCACCGCCAGCCCCGCTACCGCTCCGCTCAGCTGGCGCCGGCGCCAACCCAATATATAGGCCGAGCCGGGCCCGCCCCGCACGCATGCGCCTCAGACTGACACCTCCGACTGCGCGCTCTCCTCCCCCGTCCGCGCGCGCGCCCCTCCCGCCTGCGCACCGCGCCCTGCCATCAGTGCGCGCGGACGCACCGCGAGTGACTGCAGGGTCTGCTCGCTCAGGCCCGCGTCCCACGTTCCCAGCGCTCCACTTCACCTGCCCGCGCGGCCGGAAAGCAGCAAGGAGTCTCGCAGAGGCTCCTCCTCCAGGTTGGCTTCTAACCGCTTGGCTTCCGCATCTCCCGCCAGTTTGCTTATTTCCCCTCCCGAATACTGTAACTCCCGAATCTTGGAGACTTCGAGCGGTTCAGTCCCGGCGTTCACCCAGGGATAGGTGACTTGGGTGAGCACAGAATGGCCATGAGGTGGTCAACCTCTGTTGCGCCCTGGTTGTCCCGGCAGGGCCTTAGAAAGCCAAGTCTTTGGTGGGAGACGCGGGGACCAGGAGGGCCCGCCCCTCCGGGAGGAGCAAAGCTTCGGCTGACAAGCTGGCCAATGGGAGGCGAGAACTACTGCACAACGTGGAGCGGCTGCAGAATGTAAACACAGCCCCCGCGCTGCGGGCCACGTGCGCTCTAGCGCGCCGCAGCTCCTGGCTGGCGCTGCCATCCCAAGCGGCCACACTCAGGGGAGACTTCCCCAGCTAGCCGGCTAAGGTACGTATCAACCCTAACTTCCCGGTTCCTGCTAAGCCGACCCGGTTACCCTCTCCGAGGGTGGGATTCTCTCCCAGCAGCCGCCCAGCTCCTACCCTGCAGCTCGAATCCCGCAGTCCCCGCGCGGGAAACGCTGGCGCCACGCTGATTCTTTCTTTTCTCTTCCTAGCCTTCAATTCCAGGGCCCCGAGGGCAGAACCCCTCTCTGGAGAGATTAAGAAGCTTTCCTCATCCCCACGAGTGTTGTGGCCCTCCAAGAACCCAGCCGGGGGGTGAACAGCTAAAACCACGTGCAGGCCCCTGGCCCGCCCGCCGCGTCCCGCTCCGCCCTGCTGCCAGCGCGCCCTGCGGAGCCCGCGCGAGCCGCCTAGGCGGGAGGGAGCCGCCCTGCGCGCTAATGGGAGGCAGCGAATCCCGCTCTTTTCCTTTCCTTTATTCCTATATTTAAGTTTATGGGTCTCCTAGCTACTTCTCTTAGCGCTCCCATCCCTGCGCCCCCTTGCACTTCTCCGATTCGGACACGCAAGTTTTGCGGCGGGAGACAGTTCCCGGAACAAAGACCTCTGGGTCAGAGGAGCCGTTTGAAGGCTTCCTGGAACCGTGGCAGCTCAAGTTGCAAGTCAACTGGGCGCTTTTCTGTCCTGGCCTGGATGAGTCGTGGGAGAGAGCAGAGAGAAGACCCCACACACGATCCCCGCAAAGGCCTCTCCAGAGACTGACCCAGAGGCGGCCCGCCAGAGGGACCCTGGCTCCCAGTCCAGGCTTTTTTTGCTGCTCCGCTCGTTAGGGCCCCAGATCTTAGAAACCAGCGCTTTTGGGGCAGGCAAAATCCTTTCTCACAGTTTCCCTTTCGATTCTTAGGACAGTCTCATGATGCTAGCCAAAGAATGATTTCCCTTCCAATTTTACACGGAATAGCCCTGCCCAGTTTGACATAGAAACAAGAAGTCCATGCCTTGTCTGTTTCAAGAAACTTTATATCATTCATAATGCTTATGATGGCTCCCTTTTGCGGTCGCTCAAACCCTTTCCTATGTAAAGCTTAGCAGTCTAACTCATGATGTCAGAAAGGGAGGGTGTCTTCCAACAAGTATGTTTTAGTCCAGTATGAGCAAAACTGGTGACCTGTATGAGTGAAGTTGATCATTAAAATATGCTGAAAACCAGGGATGTCATTAACATTTGTGGGATTAATCTTTCAGTACTGTGTGCCCAGCACTGGCATACACTAAATTAATTGTAAGCAAGGCATTGTTATTAGACATGTACTTGGTCTTATCCTTGACTATTATATGAACCAAGTGCAATTGTAGTAAGGAAGAAATTAGAGTGGTCCCCAAACAGCTTTGTAAATGAAGGAATGGGGTGAATGCTACCATTTTATAAATACCTGGTTAGTGGACAAATGGGTCTGTAAAAACCATGGGCTTTCAGACCAACTAAATTCCAGTCTTGTGCTGCTGCAAGTTACCAATCCCTCTAACATGGGTTTTCTCTAGAAAAGTTGTAAGTAGGCATTCATCTCAAAGGTTATTTTATTTGTTGCTTTTTTTTTTTTTTTTTTTTGGAACTAGGGGTTGAACCCAGAGCTTTTTGCAAATGCAAGGCAGATGCTTTGCCACTGAGCTACATCCCAGCCCTCAATGGTTATTTTAATGATTAAATTTAATAATGTACATAGAGACCTCCCTATGTGTACCTGTCACAAGGTATGGATGCTCAATAAGTACTAGTTCTTCTTACTCTTAACTTCTCTTATTCACCTCCCCTTACCAGTAGAAATTATAATTCAGCATTCTGAATAAAATAGAAAGCTGAGTTATAAAATTTATGTTTCCCAGAATTTTGTTCATGTAGTTATCCTTTGTTGGACACCTATTGGGAGGGTCATCGTTCAATATGTCATCTTTTTTATAATTTTATGTGCTCATTTTTTGACTTCCTCTTTTTCCAGTCATCCCAGTTTTAAAGTTCACCTACTTTGAAACATATGAAATTCCTTTATACTTTTTAATAATTTTAGAAATTTTGGCTTTTTCTTTCTTGTACTGGCGATTGAATCCAACACCTTGTGCACGCTAGGCAAGTGACCTACCACTAACCTACATTCCCAGCCCTTTTTATTTTGAGACAGGGTCTCAGTGAGTTGTCAAGGTTGACCTCAAACTTGATATCCTCTTGCCTCAGCCTCCCAAGTAGCTGAGATTATAGGAATGTACCCCTTTATCTAGCCAGAAGTCTTGACATTTTCTAAAGTATATTTTCCCTGTTGTGTATGTCCTAAAATGCCATGGCAAATAAACTCTTGACCTCTGTAGTGCTTCATTTGCACAATGCTTTTTATTCCTGTTTATTTTTGTGAGGGTGACGGTAAGATTTTTTTTTTGGGGGGGGGGTGGTAATAGTGTTGGTTCTGGGATCAAACCCAGGAACTCTGAGCTACATCTTTCAGCCTTTTTACTAGTTTTTGTTTAGAGATAGGATCTTGCTAAGTTGCTGCGGCTGGCCTGAAATTTGTGATTCCCTGCCTAAGAATGGCTGGGATTATGGGCATGTACCACTCTGTCTGGCCCAGAAATATTCTTTTTCTTCTCTCTTTTATTTATTTATTATTCTAATTTGTTATATATGACAGCAGAATGCATTACAATTCATATGACATATATAGAGCACAATTTTTCATATCTGTTGGGTGTGTGGGAGACTCCCCCTTCCTGGAGAACATCTTGGAATCCCTTACTCCTCCCGTACCTCTTCAAAGGGCGCCAAGCCAAGAACACCAAATTCAAAGGTTTCCTCCACCAATCCCCGCAGGACACAATGTCCGCTTGTTGAGTCACCCTACCAATCAGCACCCACCATGTGCCCTGTGCAACCCTTCTTTAGCCAAAGCTTGTAAGCACATGTTCCTCTCTCTCTTTCTGCCCCCCTCCTCTTCTCTCTGCTCTCTACTTCTCCTTTGAGCAGCCACCCAATAAAATCTCTTGGTTGAATCTCTGTCTTGAGTGAGTCACTCGCCTTTCAATATCTTTGGTTTTATACAAAGTAGAGTCACACCATTCGTGTCTTCATACATTTACTCAGGGTAATGATGTCCATCTCATTCCACCATTTCTTTTTACCCCCATGTCCCCTTCCTTTCCCTCCCACACCTTTGCCCTACTCCCCCTCCCAAACCCTCTTTATATCAGAGAAAACATTCAACTTTTGGGTTTTGGGATTGACTAACTTCACTTAGCATTATATTCTCCAAATCCATCCATTTACCTGCAAATGCCATGATTTTATTCTCTTTTGTTGCTGAGTAATATTCCATTGTATATATATATATATATATATATATATATATATATATATATATACCACATTTTCTTTATCCATTCATCTACTGAAGGGCATCTAGGTTGGCTCCACAGTTTAGCTATTGTGAATTGTGCTGCTGTAAACATTGATGTGGCTGTGTCCCTTGCCGTATGCTGTTTTTAAGTCCTTTGGGTATAGACTGAGGAGTGGGATAGCTGAGTCAAATGGTGGTTCCATTCCCAGATTTCCAATCTCCATACTGCTTTCCATATTGGCTGCACTAATTTGTAGTCCTACCAGCAGTGTATGAGTGTGCCTTTTCCCCCCACATCCTTGCCAACAACTAATTGTTGTTTGTATGCATTTTGACTGGAGTGAGATGAAATCTTAAGAGTAGTTTTGATTTGCATTTTTCTAATTGCTACAGATGTTGAACCTTTTTTAATATGTTTGTTGATTGATTGTATATCCTCTTCTGAGAAGTCTCTGTTCGGTTCCTTGGCCCATTTATTGATTGGGCTATTTTTTTGGTGCTTAGTTTTTGAGTTCTTTATATACCGTAGAAATTAGTGCTCTATCTGATGTGTGGAGTGATAAAAATTTGCTCCCAAAACGTAGGCTCTCTATTCACCTCACTGACTGTTTCTTTTGCTGAGAAGAAACTTTTTAGTTTGAGTCCATCCCATTTACTGATTTTTTATTTTAATTTTTGCATTATAGGAGTCTTATTAAGGAAGTAGGGGCCTAACTGACATGATGGAGATTTGGTCAGCCCAGAAATATTCTTGAAAGAACAGATTTTTTTTTAAAAAAAAATCAAGCTGGGTATGGTGGTATGCAACTTTCCCAGCTGTTAGTGAGGCCAGGGTGGGAGGATCACTAAAGCCAAGAGGTTTGAAACCAGCCTGTACAACATAGCAAGACCCTGTCTCAAAACAAGACAAAAAAAAAAAAAATCAGGCTCAGCCTACCCATTTCTTGCTTCTGTGCCTTTACTATACCTCCTGTGTGTAGTCTTTGTGCTGTGTGTTTCCCCTCTCACAATACTCCAGCTAGGTCTTGGACTTTTTGTCATCTTTTTATAGCCAGTACCTCACAGTTCAGAGGCCTGCAGAATAGATAAATGCCGATTTGGATCATGCATGGGCTACCCTATAGTAGAACTTTGTCTCCAGAGTAGAGGGACAAATGATAGATAGATGACGGAATTAGTCCCAATGAAAAGATCAGGATTTTTTTTGTCTATTAACAGACTATTTTTTAGAAAAGTTTTACAGAAAGATGAGCAGATGGAACAGAGTTTCATATGTTCTTGCTGCCTTGCTTCATACAGTTTCCCCTGTTATTGACACCTTGTGTGGCCCTTTCATTACTCTATGATACATTTGTTATTAATGAATCAGTGTTGATGCATTATTACTAACTAAAATCCATACTTTCTTCAGGTTTCTTTAGTTTTTACATAATATGTTTTTGTCGCTCCATGTTGTCATCCAGAATACATTATATTCAGATGTCATGTCTCCTTAGGTTCCTCTTTGTGACAGTTTCTCAGACTTTCCTTGTTTTTGATGACCTTGGAAGTTTTGAGGAGTGCTGCCAAAGCAATTTGTAGGCTGCCCCTCTTTTGGAATTTGATATTTTTCTCATGTTGGACTGGGGTTATGGGTTTAGAGGAGGAAAATCAGAGGTAAAGGACCATTGTCTACCCCCACCCCACCACCACCACAATATTGGGTATTGAGTCCAGTGTGCCTTACCACTGAGCTACATTCCAAGCCATTTTTTTTTTCAATTTATTTTTTGAGACAGGATCTCTCTAACTTACCAAGGCTGGTGTCAAACTTGTGAATCCTCCTGCCTCAGCCTCCCCAGTCAGTGGACTGTAGGCATGTGCCACTATGTCCTGCTACAGTACTATTTGCATCACCTTGAGTTAAGGTAATGCATACCTTCATCATGATTTATCGCTGTTGCTGTTGACCTTGCTTACCTGGCTGAGGTAGTGTTTGTCCACTTGTGCCATTGTAAAGTTACTCTTTTCCTCCCATTCTATACTGTGCTCTTTGGAAAGAAGACAGTGCCTAAGTACATACTTAAGGAGTGGGGGATAATGCTTCTCCCTCAAAGTGAAGTGTCTGCATTATTTGAATTTCTTCTGCATTGGAGATTCATCTCTTCTGTTTAACTTGTTCAATGTTTATTTATATCAGTATGCACTGATGGATATTTACCTTATACTTTGAATTATAATTCAATATTTATCTTCTTGTTCAAATTTTTCAAAGCTTTGGCCATGGTATTTTTAATCTTTTATATTTGATTTTTAATAGTTACTTGTGAAATTGATTTGAGGCTAAGCAAAAATGAATCATGCCTGATGAGAATCAGTGTTTCTCACATAAGAAACGAATAAAACACTTTTTCCCATTTAATAAAACTTGTTTATCGCTTGTGCTTATCCAAAACACATCTGAAGAGATAAAAATCTAGCCAGCTGTGGTAGTGTATGTCTGCTATCCCATGGCTCAGGAGACTGAGGCAGAAGGATCCCAAGTTTGAGACCAGCCTCAGTAACTTAGTAAGGCCCTAAGCAACTTAGCAAGATCCTGTTTCAAAAAATAAAAAGGACTGGGGGCTGGGGATGTAGCTCAGTGGTAAAGCACCCCTGGGGCTCAATCCCCAGTACCAAAAATGAATGAATAAGTATGATATAAATACATATTGTGTGTGTGTATATATATATATTTTATTATTTTTTTATACCGGGGATTGAACTCAGGGGCTCTTAACCACTGAGGCACATCCCCAGCCCTTTTATATAAATATATATACACATATGTGTGTGTGTGTGTGTCCTTTTTTTTTTTTTTTTTGGTGGTCTCACTAAGTTGCTGAGACTGGCTTTGAACTCACGATTCTTCTACCTCAGCTTCCCCAGATACTGAGATTACAGGCATGTGCCACCACACTCGGCTATGTATTTTATTTTATGTATAAAGGCACTTTATTTTATATATGAAATAAAAATCTATCCAGATTTTAGCAGTGGATTACCAATTTTTTTGGAGGGGGAGAGGTACCCAGGATTGAACTCAGGGGCACTCAGTCACTGGGCCACATCCCCAGCCCTATTTTCTATTTTTAAAATTTAGAGATAGGGTCTCACTGAGTTACTTAGCGCCTTGCCATTGCTGAGGCTGGCTTTGAACTCTGAATCTTCCTGTCTCAGCCTTTGGAGCTGTACCAATTAAACTGTCCCTTTTATTGCCTCATCAAGTTCATTCTTAAGTGAAACTGCTTGTTTTGTTTTTTAATTGACAGTGAATGGCCGTGAAGAATATGACTACTGGGAAAGTTTGCTTTAACTTTTGCCAAGGCACCATTGTTTCTGCATCATCACAATAAATGTTAGCATAGTAGAAAGGCAGATGTGTTAATTTAATTATTAAAGAAAATAAATTTTATAAGATCAGTTTGACTTTACAGTTCATCTGAAAGAATCTTTGGGTTTCCTAGCAGTTCATAGAACATGAGAACTGCAGATGTAGTTGTTCAAACCAGAATTTTAGGAACCAATGCAGTCACTCCTTTATTCTATTTTCTGGGCTCCATAATCACGGTTAACATTTCTTGAGTAAGGCAATGTGCTGTACTGAGCTCTGAGCATTAACTTCTTTAGGTCCTCCCCCAGTGCTGTGAGACAGGAGCTGTTACTGTCATCCTGTTTTATGGATGAGGGAGCTAAGGCACAGAGGTAATTTGTCCAGGATCCATAGCGGAGTCTGACTCTAGTGCCTCTCCAGTTGTCACCAAGTCATTTTCTGTTTCCAAGTTATTTCCAGATTAAACTTCTACTTTCTCTGCCTTTCTCATTGGCTTTCCAGATAGGTGTTGCCCCTTCCATTCGGCTTTCCAAACACAGATCTGCCCATCCTGCCACCCTGGTTAAAACCCATCTGTGGGTCACCTCTGGCTAAAGGCCAAAGCCTCCAGCACACAAGGCCTCTGGCACTGGGGAAAGCAGTCTAGCCACATGCTGTTCTCCACACCCTCTACCTTTCTCACCTTTGGACTTCAGCACCGCACCCCTTATCCTTCCCACCTCTACTGCTTCCCTCAGCTAATCCCCATTTATCCATTTATACCCAAACACATACCCTCTCCTCTAGAAAGCTGTGCAGCTTGCCCTAAAATGGGGACTTATCCTTTACAGTCCTCCCTCCTGGACTGCCGTGGCCTGGTTGTGAGAAGCTGCTGGGGGACTGTCTTTTTTTATTGCAGGCCTTGGGGGCTAGCTGACCCCACCCCACTTGTGGGGTAGGAGAGGGGCAGCAGAGGTGTGCCCACTGGGGTTGGCCATCCTAACCAGATTCCAGCTAGCACCTTAGTGGGCTCATCAGGTCTTTCTCTGTAGGAGCAGAGAGGCTCTTGGCCTCTTGGGACTCCAAAAGCATAGTGTCTGGAAATGGTCTGGCTTTGCAGAGCTGCCTGTGGCCACCGCACCAGAAGGAAGGCCCTAAAGAAGGAAGCCTGGTGGAGCTAGAGCACACCTTAGGGCGGGTCCAACTCCCTCCATAGTAAAGAGGAGTAGAGGAAACCAGGGCAGCATTAGAAATCCAGGAGCTCTGGGTGAGAGTGCTCTGGGCAGTCCTCCCATTTACCATAGGGGACACGGGCAGTTAGCAAGGAAT